AGATTATTTATTTGTCTTTAATGATGTTTTAAGTAGAGTTTGCGTTGAGGAGTTGTAGAAGAAAGTCAAGAAACAGAGTAAATTAATACTATGGTTATTTATGGGATTGAGTGTAACTGGCCCTCTGTGTGTGTGTATTTGTATGTGTGTGTGTTTGTGTTTTTCGCTGTGACCTTTCTACATATGGTGTGGGACTGAACAGGGGGACAGGAGGTGAGCCCTGCACATGCTATCAGTCTGAGCTGTTAGCCAACTGACACACACACACACACACACACACACACACACACACACACACACACACACACACACACACACACACACACACACACACAAACACACACACACACACACACACACACACACACACACACACACACACACACACACACACACACACACACACACACACATACACACACACACACACACACACTCTCACTCACGCTGCAGGCCATACATGTCATTGTTACCTGATACTCATGGTGTGTAGGAGAAGCAGACGCAGGAGAAGGTCATACATGCGATGTCAGAGGCGATGCGTTCACTGCCAGTCGTGGGTTTGATTGCCGCTCGTTCCTCTTCCACAGCCTCAGGCTCTCTCTACCCTCTGTCCCCCCCGCCCACCTCCAACAATCCTCAGCATCAGTCCAGCCCCCGCCAGGAGACACACAGACCTTTCTATTTTTGATTTCTAGTCCAAGTGAAAACAATGGTTCATTGTGCCGTCAGAAACACCAACAGAGGCTGAGTTTACTGTATCAAAGAGAGCAGATATCCATGATGATGAATAATCTATATAACACATACAGTACAGAGGCAATGTATTACTCCATTGAGCCGGGAAAGTATAAGGACTGGAATAGTTTAGATAGAAGAAATAAAGATTTATAACTCCACATTCATCTCCATAAATATGTTTCTTGTGTTGTGCGCCCAGCAACAGAACAAATCATTCAAGATAAAAATGTAATCTCGCGAAACCCTAAATTCAGGGCAAGAACTGCTTCAACTATATATCATAGTACTCCTCGGGATGACCTTTACATCCTCAGAGTATCTTGTAGCTGTGTCAGCCAGATGGCCAAGTTACCCAGATGTACATATATGGCCCACTTTTAAAGGAAAAATAGTTGACATTTGTGAGATATTAGTTATATCTCACAAATGTCAACAATTAACCAGTTATATCATATAACTGGTGTCTGTGTTTGTATGGAATAAGACAAAGCAAGTGAGCCTTATAAGTGTAGTTTATTTTAAGGGCAAGAATGAGTATGCATGCTCTAACTATCGTTTTTTTTGTAAGTTAGTGTTTTAGTTAAATGTATATTCTGAACCACTGATTGGGAACATCGTTTTAATAACGATTAGCTGGAGATTTACATCTGTATCCACATTATACAACAACATTAAATGAGAACTTTAATTTGATTTCCTTTAGGATTTGTAGCTGATTAAACCATGTGTGTTTGTTCTGTTGGGTTTGCAATAGCCCTGGGACTGTTCTTTAGTCGATTCTGCAGATAAATGTACTTTAAAATATCGCAATGAATGATCAAAGACTTGCAGCTCTGGTAAAATAAAGCTGTTTAAGTTATTCTGCAGATATCCTGATGTCTGATTATCTCCATTATTGGTTTATAGATGCATTAGCAGTGACTGATCTAATTTAAACAGAGATATAATAACCTCCTTTAGCACGCTTGACTAGATATTGTATTACACACAACAATTACTCAAAGGAATATGAATGCTAACACATCAAAGCAGCAATCTGGACAAAAAGCACACCCGAAGGTTTTCCTCACAGCACTATCCGCTCTGTAAAGACATTGTTACTTGGCGTCATCTCTGCTTCTGTACATGTTTGCTTCTCATTTTCAAGTTTCCTTATGAAGCAGTGTAACCCCCCCAAAGAGATATCTTAGATTCGTATTCATATGCAAACTAGCATCCTTAGGAAAAAAGACATTCTTTTAAAGGGAAGACGAAAGGGACTAAAGGAGGGAGAGGGTAGTTCATCTTATCACCACTCAACAGATGTTCAGACCAAATGTGTTGGTTTGTCTGTCTCGTCACTGAGGCTGAGCAGAAGCAAAGCTCCAGCGCTGGCTGCTCTGAATGAACCAAGTCATCCAGCTGCTGCTAAGGAAAAATACAACATTTCTATACTGGCTCTAATTTGCTCTGATGTGGAAGGAGCCAAAGGATCAGGATGAGAACCCTCAGCTGCCAAAAGCCTTTGGCCACACAGAAGAAAATTAATTCAATTTCAAGTAGATACAGTGAAGGCAGTATGCTGCAGGATAGTGCTCGAGCCAGGTAGCTTGAAAAAATAGCTGAGTGGACATTTACAGAGCTGTGGACTGGGCCTGCTGTCTTTTTCCCTCTCTGTCCTGAGAAAAACAAAGCATCACAAAAACTCAGACGGGATTGCTATGAACTCTTCAGTGTTTTTACTCTGTTATAGGGTTTTCCCTTGACTCTCTTCCTGGTATTCATTTTAAACTGAAATGTAATTTAAAACCGAGAAAATCATGATCATTTAAGTTTTGGATGCTCTTTCATTTTGATTATTCGGTAGTATAATGACAGTTATCTTGAAGAGTATACTACTGTGTCTCAGAGCTGGAACAACTACACTTTTAATTTGACTGATTCACTATGCTTCAGAGTGCTACCTTGTGTAGCCGCAGAGCAGTGACGCTCATATTTTGAGGTCATTTAGTTGTTTCTATCTCCAAAGTAGCACTGCTGTCGGAAATGTGGTTGTAAAATCACGTCAATTATCTTCCCAAAGTGTTCAATGGTGCTCTGTACTGTGAATTATCCTGTTGGCCACTTGTTGAGCCAGCTGCATATTTTTGTTGACAGCTTTTGCTAGACAACTGTAATCTAAGCTTTGATCAGGAAAAGTTACAGGAAGAATCATGCAGCTGCACTCTGTATCCGGATAGTTAGTTTAGTAATGGCATTTCAAGGTCAGGCTTTACGTATGACAGTTGGTCGTGTTAATGAGGTTTGGAGAAGATGTCTTTTCAGTTCATAAACTAGTGTTCATTATGGGAACACTCAAGTGTATCCACACATTAAAAAAATCCAACAGGTATTTCTTCAGGGAATAGGAAGCAGATGATGGTTTAGAAATGTTTTATGCAATTTAATTCAACCCTCTTTATGGGAACATCGGTCAGCATCTTCATTGAAGGATGCAATTATATCAAGGAAAATATGTTGGAAATTGGATTTAACCATGTATGTAACTACAGCTTATAGATATATAGTTGTGCATGTGTTTAATGATTAATTCTGTGAATATAACTAACACTGCTGCTCTGATATCTGATTTTCCACCATCTGGTTTGCATCTGTTTTCTTTGTAAAACCTTCTAAACTATCACATGGTAGCTCACATTGTAGCATTTAATAAGGCTGATTCGCAGTTAACATTTTATATCAAACAGCTGTTGTTGTGTCTCTTTTTATTATGATCAGCTATAACAGATACATGTCTTACTTTCCCTGTGTGAGAGGGAGGACTGGTATCCGAAAAAGACAAGTGTTGCAGATGTGAGAGATCGAAGCTGGAGCTGGATCTAACAAACAGTTCTGTGTACCTCAAAGGTCTGTTGGTAGTTCAAGAGGAGGGCAGGAATTACGGAAGACATAAAAAGTTTTGAGAGGAAAGGTGTAGCCTTTAGGTCGGAAAAGTAGGTTAGTGAACTTAAGGTTTCTGGCTCAAATCCTTTGAGATAGTGTGGCGGTGCCCTTGACCAAGACACTGAAGCCCCTCACTGTGTACAGTAGATGCTGCTCTGCTGCCAAAATCTGGAATTGTAGCTGCACAGATGTCTCTGTTTTCTCTGGATAAAGGTTGAATAAACAATTATGGAAATACCTGCTTATTTCCCCTTGTTTCTCTTTCCTCTTCTTCCCCTTGGTTACCTTGTTTGACTTTTCCTTCGTCTCCTTCCTTGCCCTATCTTGTGATATAACTTCTATGGCTGGTTGATTTGGGTGAGCAGCGGGAAACAGGCAAGGCCTCCACAGTTCAGGGCTCCGGAGAGCTTGTTCCGGCAGCAGCAATCAATCACGGACCAAATCCCTCCTCTCATAGGACTGCCATGTTCCAGGTGACATGGTCAACAGCTGCAGAGAAATATAAAGCCTGCAGCGGGTATTTAAATTTAAATAGAGTAGTAAACAGCTCTGAAGAGGCTGCAGTCTGGAGAAAACACCTGAATACACTGATACCAGAACTCACTTTATTGTTGATTTGTTTAAGCATACAACCAATTTAGATTTGCCTATTTCACTCATATGGACGTTTGAACAAACAAGACGTGAGACTTTGACATGGGGATTGCTCTTTTTGTGCCAGTTCTCTCAAACATTTGACATTTTTTAATCATGACCGTTGTCTTTTTTCTGGTCTATGGGTGACTATGACTTGTTTGAGAGGCAAACAGCTACAATCAGAAACCCTGGAAAGTCATTCAAAGTCATACAAAGAGGAATGATAGAAGAGTGATGTACAGTGTTAAACTTACAGTGTGAAGTTTAATAACATGACCTTCTTTGCAAATGAAAATCTGAGCAGTAATAACAAATCAATATTAGTCACATATTAGTTTGTACATACAGAATAAAGGTGTACTGATATCGGAGAACTATAGAAAATAGCAGAAAACAAGGCCAAAACAAAATGGGGTTGAAGTTGCGGTGAGGCTTTAGAAGTTAACAGTTGACATGATTGTATTAGAAGACTTAAGTCCTGTTTAACCAAATGATTGTATATCAGTTGTCAACCAGTCGTCAGATAGCTAATATTGAGCTATTTACCTCACTTGTGACCAAAGGCCATTTAAATAGTCGTAATACAGCCTCCTGTGAATAGAGTTTGTGTGACTAGTGTTGTAAAACGTAAACACTGAACCACCAGGTGTGAAGTGTATTTATGTCTGACTCTTGTTTCTATGTGCTTCCTTATCTTGCAGACATGTCTAGAGTTGGAGCGATATCTACAGACGGAGCCCAAGCGGCTCTCGGAGATCTTCGACGAGGAGCTGGACTGTCTCTTAATGCCGAACTTCATGCAGGGTGGGGACAGCGATGAGGAGCTGATGGACCCGCTCCTCCCCAGCCTCCCAGACCAGCCCAGCCCGCCCCCTCTCCTGTTAACCCTTCCCAAGGTCCAGGCCAAAATCCTCCACGTGGCCAGCAAGACCCAAGGCGAGGCAGGAACTGAAACCCTCTCACCGAAGGACCAAGTCCTGGCAGGAGTCAGTGCCGCACAGCTCAGCGCCGCGGTGACCTCCCTAACACCGCCTTCGTCACCAGAGCTCGGTCGCCACCTCGTCAAACCCACACAAACACTGACTGCGACGGCAGACGGCACACTAACGCTCAAATTTGTGGCAAAGAAGGTAGGGTTAGGAGCAGCTAAACTGGTGGCAGCACGAGCGTTACCATCGCCGCCGAGCCGAGGAGGAGCCCTCAGCGACGGAGAGCAGGGAGGTGGAGGAAGTCTGGGAGGAGACATACCAGAGAACAAGAAGAGAGTCCACCGGTGCCAGTTTAATGGCTGCAGGAAGGTTTACACCAAGAGCTCCCATCTGAAGGCACATCAGAGGACTCACACAGGTAAGACCTCCATTACAATTACCTTCAGTGTACTCTATAATCATCATTTCAGCTGTGGAGTCCATCACGTTGGATTTGAAATGAAAAGATGATTATGAGGTTCCAGTGCTGACATTAAGCTCAAATTTGACAAATTCACATTGATATCGAGGGAGGATTGCAGGATTTGTAGCGCTTTGTATTCAGCAGACCCTTTTGATCGAATTTGTCAGTCAGCAACCAATTCAAGAAACCGGTATGGCTTTCAAAAGTATTTTTCCAATTGCTAGCATTAATCATTTTTGAAACATTACGCTGCCACCATGTGTAATCTGTGTTAAGGATGGTGTGAAATTGGCCCCATGTCCCCCAGATGTAAGGACAAAGCAGCAGGGCAACATATAACATACTTGGTTGTCCAAGTGAGCCACATGACCTCAATCAAACTGATTCTGTGTGTCACCGCTGAAGACCAGACTGCCGGCAGCAGAGCCCTGAAACATGAAGCAAAGCTGTCTGTACTGCAGGCCTGACAGAGTGTCAGCTGGGAAAATACCAAGTGTCTGATATCTGTGAGACTTGAAAACTAATATTGAAGATAATGACCTTATTCTACTTACCCTAAAACCCTAAAACTTGCTTACCCTCAGCATTTTAACCTCATGTTCAATTTCAAACCCAATGTGCTGAACCAGAACCAACACAAAGAAAATCATCATTATAGCATTGTTGAATGATGATGTGCCCAAGCTTCGATTAAGCACATGTACATCACACAAAAGGTACATTGTGCTTGTTGAAATTATCAAGAAAACACATTATGACCTCTCTTCCATTTATTTTGCTTCTGATATGATCCTCTGGATTTAATCATTTCCTCATGAGTCTTGGTAGTTCAGGGCCAAAAGGCATTGTCTCAGTAATTGCCTGATGATTGATAGACTTGTAGTAAATGACATTGGCAATTCAGCTGTGTCCAACTGGGTCAGACATGCAGCTTTAGCTTCTAACTACTGCTGCCCTGTCGGTGACCCTCAGACAGAACACACACCAGGCTAATGTGTCCGGGGGCTGTTTGCTGTGAGTGCTAAAAGAATGTGGGCATGTCGAGAAGGGCTCTGGGTGGATGTGGAAACATGAGTGAAGAGTGATTTGACTGTTGCAAATTTTGATGAAGTGGTGATTTGCTTGAGTTTAAACAGCATCAAGTAACCTGAACTCAGCCTGAGGTTTACTTGACAAGGATCAGCCTTATGTGTTTTTCTGATCGTATTGCTCACAACACATGGAAATTGAACATATTACATTGGTATACCAAGCAGAAGAAGATTTTTTTTGACAAACAGTTAATAGACTGAAAACCTTTTCAGCTGATTTCCCCAGTTGACTTACCACAGTGGAGTTGAGTTCAGGAAAGCCCTGCATTTCGACTAAAATAATGCAGACGGATTTGTTAGTAAGCGTGGTATTATTTCTCAATATCGTTGATGAACAGATCCATACGTTTGAAGCTAATCAGATGTCAAAACACAAAAAAGTGTTTTACAATACTAAGAAGGATCTCTGGAGAGATGTTACAAAGATAATCACTATCATTATTGATGACGGTAGAAATATTGCATTCATTTATAGGCAGCGCCAGAGCCTGCTGTGTCAGCTGTTAAAACAGTGGTCTGATTAAAATCAATGAAGAGGCTGCTTCCTATGTCAGTGCACAGTCTGCACCTGACTTTAAAAGTAAGTTTGTGTTTTTAGGAGAACTGAACATGACTTTTTAATGTTGTGCGAAATCAATCAAGACACCATAGAATCAAAACTCTCTGGATTCAGTTTTTAGCGGTTATCATATTGGAGTTCGTTTTCCATTTGGGATTGTCATTAAGAGCTTCAAGTGACAGGTGCTAGTGTATCACATATTTTCCTTACTTTCCAATACATTATTTGTATCTGTTTTCCAATCAAAATGCTCTCTGGATTGAACATGCTTTAGCCTGTGTAACTGAGGCTCAATCCATCAGTTATCTACAGCAGGAGGTAGACCTGTACCACCTGAAGCTAGCATTATTCAACTTTAGCTTCAACAGCAGGGTCATTTACTGTATCTTGAGTGGTTCATGGCCTCCAGTTGTCATCATCCAGTGTTAGCAGTTTCCTTGCTGTTCATCAGGATTACAGTACATAGCCTGCAGACCCTCTACTGTATTAATACGGGCAACCTTGGCATCATTAATCCAGCGTGTTACAGGCTTTTATGATCCCAGCGACCGTTGCATGGCTTTAAGTATAGCATTACATTTCCGGGCAGCACCTAGCATGGCCGGGGGAACCCACAGCTGGAGCTTTATTATAGCTAATCCAGAATTGAGCAGCTGGATTTGTGGTAGCGTCGCCGCTAGCTGCAATATCTTTAATCTTCTGGTTATTTTACAGTCGAGTCATGCTAAGGAACGATGAGCATTTAAAGGCAGAATCCTTCACTGACAAAAAAAAGACACCCTGGAGACACTACAGCTTGTGTGTGTGTGTGGGTGTTGCGTGTGCTTTTGTGTGTGTGCTCGTGGTATAAATGTGGGGGCGGTGTATTCCCTCCCGATGTGTTCACTACAAGCGCAGCACTGTGGTTTAATTAGCTTAATCCTCTTTTTGGGTTATTATGACCATAAATCATTGAACATACATGTAGGGAGGGATTAACGTAGCATAGACTACAGGGAGGAGCAACTGCAGAAAGCCTGCACAGCATCAATGCACTTAGTGCCACATAGTTCACACCAGAGGCCATTAGAAACATCATTACACCGAGCACTGTCAGGAGTTTACTGTACAAGTGCAGCAATTGCACATAATGCGGGTAATAATAATCCTCTGTTCATATCCAAAACAATCTTTCTGAGCTGTAGCTATGATTGGAAGTTTATTTTCTCGCTCTTGTTTATTTTCCTGTTTAGGAAGATGGGATTGTTATAACATTAATAGATGTACATATTAATTCAGTAAATCTCCAAGAACCAAGTCTGTTCTGAGCCAGACTTTTCTTTTCTCTATTTGTTTGAAAGTCTGTATCAGTCTGTGATATCTTATAAAGGCCTGGAGGGCACAATGTGGCACAAATGTCCACTTGTACTCAATAATGAACTTATTCTATTTTTCTGTTAAAAGGTCACAGGTAAAGGTCAATGTGACTTCACGACTGTCCCATTCTTGTTAACAATATATCTCAGGAAAGTCTTGAAGGAATACTTCAAATGTGGCACAAACATCCACTTAGACTCAAGGATGAACTGTTTAGATCAAGTTAATCAAAGGTCAAGGTCACTGACAAATCCCACAAAATGATTTAGCCATAACGATCCATATGCTGCTTATGACAACCGTCACACAAAAAGATCAAATGTACATGTTTAGACTGACATGGACTTAAATGGCAACTTGACTGGAGGATTCATACAACCACGAGGCAGTAGGTTTTTTTCTCTTTAAACACGAGATGGATAGTAATTTAATCTTCCTGATAATCAATAAGCAGGCTAAAACAATATTATATAGCAACTAGAAAAATACAAAGCAACTGAGATAGCAGAACAATGAACCGTTTTGAAAGGAGTGTAACAGTAGTGTCTTGTACTTAAACAAATGTTATTTTTCCTGATACCTGATACAATATTTTGACAACACATTGCAGATCACAGCTCAAATGCGTGGAGCTGCTGTCAGATGATGATGTGCAAATAATCAGAGACAAAACAGATGAATAAGACCGAGACATGCTTAGAAGAGGAAAATACTGAGACTGGAGACAGGTTGGAATCTGCTACCCTAGCTCCTTTTGTGAAAAAAATACACCTTCCAACAACTCCATAAACAGGCTGTCTGCTAGTGTAATAGTTGAGTGGCATTTCAGACAAAACAGAGGAAAACCCAAAACAACAAAACTGACATTCACCATCCATCAAGTGTGTTACAATGTTGACGTAAATACCCAGTATAGGGTTAATGGTGCAATACAATCTAAATGTTTTTACTGTAAGATTCCTCATGAAAAGCAATTGTTGTAATAGGTTTAAGTACAAAATTACAGAAAGATCAATCTCTTCTATTTGACAATAAAGCAGCTTTGTTACAACCACATATTTTCTACATTAAACTGTATCGAACACAAAAAACATGTCTAGAAAGTTTTTCCTAATAAAAAAAAAACAGCAGACGTCTCAGCTAGAACTTAATTGAAGAAACATTCTCCTTACAATTAAATTGGCCACGTTCAAATTAAAACCAGCAAAGGATTTTAGTTGATGTATAGTTGTTGGACATTTTTTAAGACCAGAAGCACTTTCCAGCAGCTGTTAAAACCTCTGATAGGTCACAGTGTTGGATGACATTTAAAAGCATTCTTTGACATTTAGGGTTTGCAAAGAAAAATGAAAACCTTTTTGAGAAACATGACTGATTTATATAGCACTCAGTTTTATTGTATTCCTCCAGTAAACGTGTGCACGCTTTTTGGTTCATTGGCAGTTCTTGACCTACAAATCATGGATAATTTACTGTGTATGTCTTTATATTAAACCAGGCAGCCACCAGTTTCCTTTTATTTCTATATGGTTTGAAAATCAATTAACACTGCGATAACATTGAAGCTGAAATTGCTTGAGTTGTATATTTTATCATGAGAGAACAATGGTTTTGATTTTTGTAATAATTAGATTAGGTGCATATTTAAATGACTGCACTGAATTACCTCACAGTAATAATGACATTTTGACAATAATTAATGCAGGTTTCTTGGTCACGTTAAAGGTTTATTTAGCTGATGAAAGTTTCAGGTTTGGGATGTAGAACAAAACAAAAACATTGAAATTAGACACATCGTTTGCAAAATGGCTTTATGTGTACAAATTACAATAAAGAGTGTACAATTATTTCATATATAGTTCATAGGTTAAAATATAAAAACAAAACCTCCAGCTAGAGGTTGACTTCCTGAAACCTGAACCCCCCCCCCCCAGCAGGTGCCACAGCCTCATGAGGATTTAGGAAAAACCCTGCTAACCCAAGACCTCCACTCACATATAAACCTCCACACACCCCTCTACTAAACCAACCTCCAACCTGCTCTCTCTCACTCTCTCCCACTTGCTCATTCACTTTGGGTTGCCAAGCAACTGCATCACACTCCTCCATAATTGGTTGGTGCCTGGTTGATTGTCCATGCCTGTTAATCTCTCTCTCTCTCTCTCTCTCTCTCTCTCTCTCTCTCTCTCCTCTCTCTCTCTCTCTCGCTCTCTCTCTCTCTCTCTCTCTCTCTCTCTCTCTCTCTCTCTCTCTCTCTCTCTCTCTCACACACACACACACACACATTCTCGCCCACCCCCACCACCCTTCTCTCTTTCTCTCAGTTGCTAGGTGACTTTATCACGCATCCTTGCCTTGCCGTGCTATAATTGGCTGGCGTCATGGTTGCTGTGGCGTCAGGTCTGAGCTGGCCTTGCTTCATTCCTCCAACTGTGTGTGTGTATGCATGTGTGTCTGTGTGTGTTATAGCATGTATGTGTGAATGTTTGAGGGGGGTCCTATTGAAGGAAGATGGGGTTCTGTGGCCAATTACTGAAGACGAGTGTGAAACGGCCGCCTGTCTGGCACCTGCGCCCCCACTCATACCCCATATCACACACACTGACACACACAGGCAGGTTGAGAGTGTAGCTTTTCTCAAACAGGATAAGCTGCCAAGTGGTTTGCTATTGTATGTTGAAAATATTGGTCCTGTATTCAGTCCTGAGCCTCTGAGGAGTGAGTAGGAGGATTCACACATTCAGATACTGCTGCTGAAGACTCAACATGGAGGATTTTTAGTTCGTTACAGAACTAGAAGAAAATCTGTTCAGAATCCAAAAAAAGAGTAAAGCTCTACTAGAGAATTGGGGGCCTTACTGTTGTACCTTCTCAGTTGGGTAGCTTGCCAATTTTTTACTTTAAATGTACCGGGAAAAAAGTGTGGCAGTCGAAGTGGCTCTTGTCTTAATTCATGTCTTTTAAAGGCCGTTATTGAGGTGAATTAGAAATAACAGAAGTAGAGAAATACCAATTAAATCCATTAGACCATTCGAGCCCAACCGAAAACATCAGCAGGCCAATCAGTCTGGTAGAAATACATGTTTGAATAACAGCAAAGTAGGAATGTGTGACTCTCAAATGATATTTACTAGACTTAAGTTACTCACAGTATCAACAGTATGGTTCATTTTTCAAGTGTACATTTCTAGCTCAGACATACCCGATCTGGTTCAGCCAAAAAAGAGAGAATAGGAACCACTCTTTATGATTCTCAAGTATTGATGTTGGACTTAAAGATCCAGTGTTAGTTGGACTCTATTGATAGTCCATCCTAACAGGTTCAATGTACTTGTACTGGTCATGCTTATAGTGCCAATACAGCATGTACTGTTTGGCTGCATACACACTTTCTCCAGTAAGATCCCAAAGCTCTTTCCTCTAAGTCCATCCTTATCCTCCAAAGTGAGTCTTATTTGGTGTTTAGACCACTGCAACTGGTTCCTCTTATTATTATTTTTTACATGTGCAGTTTTACTACCAAAACAGACTTGTGTAGAAGATATCTCAGCTATTAAAACACCAATAAAGGAAAAACTCGATGACAAAACCCATGGAAAAGCTAGTGACAGAGGCTAGCTTGGAGAGGTCTTGCACCCCAAAACATTGGAGACTGTGGGTGAGGTGGCAGAGGAAAGTGTGTCTCCAAAAAATCACAATGACGGGACATCGACAAAACCCAGATCCCTGTTGGGGAAAGCAGCAACCGACAGCGCAAGATTTGACTGGAGAATTTGAATATGCAAATCCAGGAGAGCATAACTCAGGATCCTAAATTAATTCAATCCGAGAACGAGTGCGTCACCTTGCGGTCACGTTATCTGTGTGGTTAAAGAACTGCTCAGATCAAAGAGACATAGGAAGTGATGGGAAATAAAGGGAGAGAGGGCATCACTCACAGTTGGATGTTCCTGTAGCACATCATCTTTTACCTGTCGTTGCATCACCTTGCTGTGAGAGCTGCTCTCAGCTCAGATTTAAGTCCATGTGAAGGTGTTCTTCTACAGCTTTGGTTATTCTGGCACGATTATTCAAGAGGGAAAAGCAATCTCACACTTGTTGGTATGGGATGGAGAAGTTATTCCCGTGCTATGGTTGAGGGAATTATAGGTAAACAGCACAAAAAGATAAATTGGAAGCTCAATCTGAATTGAAAGTTGTATTTAAATAAATAAATAAGTATATTCTATCAGGTGTCAAGAAGATGCCTTTTTGGTGTTACCAAAACAGTTCAGATTGGCTAAAAAAAAATCTTCCAACCACAGACACACATTTCAGTCAAGCTACAAGGAACAGCACTCGGCTTCAAAGCCAGATTTTGAAATGGCCCAAATGTGTAATTCCAACATTCGGGTAAGCACATGATGCCATAGGTGTGTAAAATACTTTCCCCTATGGGCTTACATTGGGTCCAAGTAAATCCATTTTCGAGTATTAACATTTTAAAAGTGATTCTTTCAAACATTTGGTGAATACAGATCATTAGAGTGCTTGCTCTTCAGGCCCCATGGATGTGGAAGATCCCGGTAATATATCACTTGGTAGTCGAGACATTTTAGCACCACTGAGCTACTTCCATAGGAATGAGCAGGAGCCCAGCTCTCTATCTAATTCTCTTTATAAATACATAAATACATGATATAAGTTGTACAGCCATACTCAGTGAGTTCAACAGTAGACCTGGTTGAATCTCTGAAAATCTTTTTGGGTTGCAATGCAGAGAACTGGACCCAGGTTGTACTTAAATAAAATGAGTTTTGTGCCAGGGTTGAGTTCGATTTTCATTTTCAATCCTGATTAAAAATGGAGGTACTTGTGACACATCTTTTTTTATTGTATCCAATTATGTTTCCATCACAATGTGGAATACTTCACAATTTCCACATTTCCACATTAGTTCCACTTTGTTTTCGACTGTTCTGTGTTTGTGTTTGTCTCCTTAAGAAGATTTGTGTGTGCTGTGATGGCAGTGGAGGGGCTGCTGGGACATCTGGCTAACTGACTGTTAACTGCTGTATCACTCCCCATTAAGAATCATTTAGACCCCAATTATGGTTACCACCCCCCAGTTCACACACTCACACACAAGGGGTCTGCAGTGATGTTTGGCCAGATTTAAAATGTGCTGTGGTTCAACTTTGCAGCAAAAGCTTTGCAAAATCAGCCAGCTACACTTGGCTTCGGCCAGTCCAATATGTGCACACTACTGGTAGATTACTTTGTAATGTAGGCAAACAAGTTCATCCTACTGTTTTGTTGTCAAGATAGAGGATAAGATTAGGTTGTTGCTGCTGCTCTACCAATTTAAGACTAGAAATGTTTTGGCTTAAGTGAATATTAACACATTTTCAAACCCAACGCATTCAAATTAGTACAAATGAACTCGTCCAAATTCAAATTAAACACACCAGCTATATGCACAAACGAGGTTGTGGCAGAAAATACATGTATTTGTTTATTGTAGCACTAACCCACAGTACAGTGTTGCAGTATAATAAATAATATAATATGAGTTGTGTTTTCATAGATCTGTTAACTTATATATTCTTAAATTCAGTTCTACAATATAGTCTTACTTTTTAGGTTAGTATATGATTTTCCTGATTTATTTGCTCATCTCACATACAGACCTCAGAGAGAAATTCACTCTTGAACAGGCAGTCAGACATCATCACGTCCCATCTGAAGACACACACACACACACACACACACACACCCCACACACACACGCACACACACACACACACACACACACACACACACACACACACACACACACACACACACACACCACACACACACACACACACACCTCTAGCCAGAAGACACACACGCACACACAGCTGGAAGGCTTTCTATCACGGAGAGATAACTACAGGCTGAGAACAATACACCATCTCTACTCCCATCTGGTGAAGTGGGGGATGAAACTTCATTTACATTTCAGATCCTACCACCTCAGGGTGTGTGTGTGGCTGTGTGTGTGTGTGTGTGAGGGGGGGCGTTCTGATAGCGTGAACAAAACGAGATTCATTTCAGGGTGAATTTAGGATTGTGAATTAACACGCCGCAGTGCTGAAAGACTTCATTTACAACTAATTGAGTATATTGGCTCATTGAAATGGCTGTTGCGTTAAAGATGGTCTGCCTGCCCGGCCCCTGGGCTGTGTGTGTGTCTGGAAAAAGCCAGGGGTGGTTATATTTATATTAGTGAACAGCTGTAGTTGAGACGTGTGAAATTAGATGTAGAAATTATAATAAAATGTGACACCTTCTCCTCTCTTTCTTTCTCTCTCTCAGGTGAGAAGCCCTATAAGTGCTCATGGGAGGGCTGTGAATGGCGCTTTGCCCGCAGTGACGAGTTGACACGACACTACCGCAAACACACCGGAGCGAAGCCATTCAAGTGCAACCACTGCGACAGGTAAACACACAGGCATCAACAAAAAATGTGACAAACATGTAGTGAACTTTACATTTGTGGGACCTTGGTGCCCTTTATCTGTCATTTTTAAACCTGCATTTGTTCTCAAGTAGAAGAAGAAAACATTTGTCGATAGGTCTTTTTCACAGAAAACGGACTTGTCACAGCAGGAAAAGCTCAGGTGTGAATAATACAATTAACGAGGGTGCTTCAGTTCAGGGTCCTGGTTTTGTCCGTGATGGCTAATTGGACACTAATGATTATTAATGTTATTTGTAACACCTGTGCACTTTAGTCCAAAGGTCTACTGTGAAGAAGGCCTTTATTTTCAATTACGTCGTTAAAATATTGTATATATCGTTTTATTCTCTAAATAAACGTTTAAAACCTTTATAAGATAAGATAGAACACATGAAAAGAAAAGAGAAGTGTACAAAATTGGATTCTACAGGATTCAGGACTAAATACTGCATGTGAGTCCCTTGTGAAATTTAGAAGAGATGTGATCATTTTTTCTTAAACACATTTCCTCCTGCAGCAGCTGTGCAGGAGGATCTAAGGTGATTTCTTATCTGGACTCCTGAGTAATAAAGGTTCAAGACTGTAGCTTGTAGTGCAGTCAATTTAATGATAAGAAAAGTTATTATCTAAATGAAGTTCCTAATGGATTCCCGTTTTCCTGCAGCCATAGGAATGCATGTAAATGTTACTTAGATATGGGCTTATTATTGGCTTGCTAGTCATGTTGTCCTGCCAGTGGAGGAACATTTTACTTATTGATCTTCTGTCAATCTGTTTTTTCACTGTAACACAACGCAGTTTGACCTCTGTGTAAAACAAAGGTAGAAAAAAGGATGATGGGTTGTGTGTTTCAAAATGAAAGCAAACTAATCTCCTTATGGACAAAAGCCAGGGAAGTCACATCGTCTCTGATTAGTGTTTGGTCCTCAAGGTAGAGTGTGTGTATGCGCGTGTGTATTGTGTGCGTGTATGCGTGTGTGCGCGCTTACTCATGCCCCTTTGCTGGCAGTTAAATGGATTCTGGCTATTGGCAGACTGGTCGCAGCTAATTGAGTGGCACCAGATGCCAGCTCCACTTTAACATAAACACTCTGTGAGAGTGTGTGTGTGCCTGCACTACGTTTCTGATGAACAACACACACACACGAACACACAGACACACGTTTGCCCTAGAGGCAGTGTAATTGGCTGTTGTGGATTCCCTCTAGTTTGGGTTTTAGACATAAAACCCTCCAGAAACCTGCTGGAAGCTTCTAATCCTGGCTGAGAGCTGGGACTGTATTAGCTCCTTCTTGGCACACACACACACACAGATGCACAGTGTGTCGAGACCCACACACACTTATGCATGCAGAACGCAGAGACGTTTGCAAAGTCATACATGAACATCTAAAGGTCCAGACAAAACAATGACACACTTAAATACACCATGACACAGATATAGGCTGTGTTATATTTGAGGCTCTGCGTACATCAAAGTCTGTATTGTAATCTGAAAGAGTATCAAAGTGGAAGAAGTTATTTTAGGCTTCAGCGTTTTATTTTTATGTTTTCGATTGACAGTGTTGGTGACAATGTTTTATCTCTATGTCACATCTTCCCTTCATCAGAAGACTGTAGACTCTTAAGATGTATTCCTACTAGAGCTGCAAGATTAGTGCACATTTTTTATAATCTATTATTTGTTTCAATCAGTTGAATTTTCATTCAGAAATGGCAATAATGTACATTTCAGTCTCTCAAATATGAAACTTCCAACGTTTTGTTGTTTAAATTATGTTTAACTTAATATCTTTGTGTTTTCGATTCTCAAACGATTAAAGACCTCATCTTGGATTTTGAGGAGCTCGATGGATCATTTTCATAATTGTCAGACATGTTATAGACATAAACTAGCATAGAAGAGATAAAACCAGAGAAACTTTTTCAGAGCAACATCAAACTTAAAGTTTTACGCAATCTCTGACAATATTAATGCTACTAGCTGCAATTCAAAATACTTGCTGTCGAAAACCATTAGTCTCATTTCACACATTTCCAATATTTCCCTCTAGGTTTGTTAATTCTTGAATTACAAAGTGGATGGAAACACGATTAACACAGCCAGGATGTACCCCACTTTTTACAGTAGAACACACACACACATACACACATCTGTGGTGGGTGGAGCCCAACAAATATTACCATGAGAATAGCAAAAAGTGGCCGCCATGGAGAGGTTAACATTAGATAGACTGTTCAATATGACACAATTTCTCCTGGGGAAACACACACATACACACACACACACACACACACACACACACACACACACACACACACACACACACACACACACACACACACACACACACACACACACACACACACACACACACACTGCAGTCTGTCATTAATCCTGCCTAATCAAGCGGGGACCCCCTGATGTTTCCATGGAGCCGGGAGGAGGAGGAGTGATGAGGAGGAGGACAAAAAGAAGTGAGGAGGTGGAGAAGGGAGAGTTTTGGGAAGGAAGAGTGGAGGATGGGAAGGAAGGAGGAGTGGGATTGGGGGGGGGGGTCAGGGTGGTACCAGCTGGTCCCAACGGTGACACAGTAACTAGCATGGCCATCTGTCCAGCCAGACACACACACACACACACACACACACACACACACACACACACACACACACACACACACACACACACACACACACACACACACACACACACACACACACACAAAGGTGTACAGTAGGTACCACATGGTCAGCATAGGGTTGAGGTAAAACCAAAATATTTCACAGAGAACAGAAATGAGAGCAAAGGTCAACTGAACTGCACACACCATTCTCATTGTAATGCTTTGAAATCTGAATCTTTCGTTAAACCCTTAGGCACCAAGGATAATGAGTAACATATTATGAAGAATAAAGTACTTCCAAAAGATGGTGCTGTTATGAGCTTTCAGTTTTATTTGAAACCACCAGAGGAGAAGGTGGAGGTTTTTAACCACCACTAAAATACATTTGGTGTGTCAGATGATTTCTCTGTAGCTTCAATTAGGCGGATAATGTCACATGTGTAATGAAGGTGTACAACTGAATATGCAGATAATAGCAGCTTTCTTCAGAGTATTTCAAGGTTTTAACAATAATTTCATCCTGCTTGTCAGAGATCTCCTTTCAGTTGAATTCGTGAGGAAACTTATCATTATCATTTTGCAGTGAAAGCTCCAAAAAGGGTTGTAAATGTTAATTTTGTCTTTAAGTTTCAGCTTTTTGACTTGTTACCTTGTTTTCCTGGCTTGTTGCAGTCTAAACAATGGGGTTTCCTGAGGAAATGTATGAATCACAGTAGAAGCATCTGTGAGACAGCAAATTGTACTGCATCGTGAACATTTTTTCTGGTTTTCAGCTCTGTCTCTGGATAAAGAAGGAGCCTGACTAATACACACACACACACATGGAATAGCCTTGATTGATTAATAATGAATAAAGGCCCCTGGCAAATTGAATTTTTTATTTCTCATTTTATTCTTGCCCACATTTTGTTTGGCCTCTCCTTTAGTCATATAATTTGTGATTCATTTTATTGGTCCTGTTCAGTTTAATGTTCTCACAATGGGGTCATAAAATTAAAATACTTGTGAAACTGCGACTCTTATATTACACATCCCCAGCACCTGATTTTATTTCTCCCACACCAGGTGCAGTCACTGCTGAGTTAAATGGCCCGGCATTAGAGAGTACTGCCAGACTGTCTGCATTAGTGTCCATGTTCACGATGCACATCTAATTAGTTTCTACAATAGTATTCTTCTCGGAGCTTGAGGACTGACTACCGAGCTGTGGAGGTCTGGCTGTGATTTATGGTGTTTGAGTCAAAATCACTGAGCCTGAGTTAGCCCATATTCGTCTCTATGTCTGAGTTTCACTTTGTGACATAATAAAGTAAGACTATTACTCAACTATCTTCAATCACTTTATTTAAGATCAAGTGGTTAAAAAAGCGTTCCTGTTCTCTGCCATAACACTGTGTGTGATAATCCATGAACACTATTATTCGTGTGGAAATCATACTTTACGCTTTCCAATAGGCTCGGTTAAATATGACTTTATAGAAATGTTTAGCAGCCATTGCAGACTACTTTTCAGGAAGTGTCTCACTTGATATCTCACAGGAAATACTTAAGGGAATGTCGATATTTTTGTCACCCGAGGACAAACTGACACGGCTAGCTAGTTTGTTGTGTTAGCATTTAATGCTCAAGTTAGCAAGCCATATCAATAAACTTCATCAATAGCGGTTCATTGCGCTAGAAAAACATTGCAAGGACAGTTGTGATTTTCCTGATAAATATTTGTGTTACAAGGTCTGTTTTGGTATCTTAGGCAAACCTTGGCTAGTTAGCTTATGTAGCTAACACATGCATCACTGGACATTTAGCTTTCCAGCCACCAGAATGCCAACTCTCTTTGAAGTTGACACCACATGGAAATACTGAATTAATGTTCACTACTGTTTAAGGTTAGCGGGCCCTGGGATTAAGAATATTACCCAAAAAATAAACAAAGCCAGTGGGTATGACAAAGGGGGAAATTCACACTATATAGCCAGTGGCATTGATCAACAAGAATTGCCCTATTTATCACTTTGTGCAAATCTCCAACAAACTGTAATGCCTTTGTAAATGTATTCATACTGTGAATTATATACTATTATGTAACTAAGCTGTTTCTATTTATCAACAGTGTCCTATTGCACTTCTCCAGCATTTATTCAGATTCCTCTTAAGATTCCCTATCTCTTATTTACTCTATTTTTCATACATAGTTTGGATGTTAGATTTCTGACATGATCTCTCTGGTCTCTCTGCAGGTGTTTCTCTCGGTCGGACCACCTGGCTCTGCACATGAAGAGGCACATCTGAGGGCAGAAGAAAAAGGAGTGGGAGAGGGGAAGAAGCACGAGGAGGAAGAGATAGGAGGAGAGAGGGATGGGCAGTGGAGCTACCAACCGCCCGCCTCATTCACCCCCTCCATAAACCAGTCCGAAACAACGACGCCTGCAGGGCATCCATCTGAGGGGGCCGTAAAGATCAAACGGACTGAAGGCCCTCTCATTGGAGACGGGGATAGGAGGAATACGAGGAGTAGCTAGATTGTTGTTTTTCTTTAAAATTACACACTCGCACACTTGCAATAGTGAACACGCAACACACTCGTCTTTGAATGCATCATCCCGGTAAATCCCAGTTGCTCTCATGTGGCTCTGGGGGCTTGGACAATGCCAAACCAACATAAACTTAACTTGCTTATTTAAACATTACTCCGCATTTTTTCTTTTTCTGTAGTCAGCGTGTTCAAACCATAAAGTCACTTTAGGTGAGGAGATAGTTCAGTGGGGAAACTTAAAATATCCATGTAGTCAGTTCTTCGTGTTTTACCGGCTTTTAAAATCATATACTCAACTTTCTTGTTTGTTTTGTGTTTCTCATACACGAAACATAAGAAACCATCATCTGCCGCAGTCAGCTTCAGTAATCTATGTGAAGAAAACAACAACAAACAACAAATCTGCAGGAGAGAGACTGTACTTCCAGCATAGCTGACAATCGAACCCAGGGCTTGTCTGGGTGTTTTGGTGCACCCTTGGGACCTGGGTCAGCGGGTGCTGCCACAGCTCTCAGGCTCTCCTCCAGTGGGTGTTTGCTTCTCTCACCTTCACTGAGACGCCTGCCGCCTCCGCAGGCCATCTGACAGAAATGCGCAGCGACACTTTCTTCCCTTTTTTTCTACTTAGAGGATGATAATTCTTCTTATTGTTGTTATTACAAACAATGACACTTTGTTCTTTTCTCTCTTGGAGAAAATGTCTTAAAACTCACTGAATTGCTTTTGAGAAAAAAACTGAAAAACTAAGAAGACTTCAACAGAATGTGTGGGATGAGAAGGGGAGGGTTGTTGGTCTTTTAATCCCCGTGTGCACCGGCTCTGCTTCTGCCAACTGTGAGCAACCAGTGGATGAACAAAAAAAATACAATCACACCTACTCTCGGAAAAGGGATTTGTATTTTTTGGACTAAAATAAATGCAGAGAGCAGAGAGGTCTTCATTTTGTATGCCTCTCTTTCTGCCTGCGATTCACTCCAGCTGAAATACAAAACCCTTGCATTACGCTTTGTGGTCTTGCACTCTACCGGAGTGAGGCGGAGAACTAGCTAAAAACTTGGAACCCGTTTTTCTTATTTCTTCGCTTTTTGTTCATTCTGAAAATCATCCTGGAGCGCTTTCACAGACTCTGAGATTTCATCTCTCCGGCGGCACTGCAGGGCATGAACGAAGGATGAGGAGCTGCATTTCAGTAACTCACGTGGGACTTAAGATACAAACCACCCTTTGTGTGGTGGTGCCGAATAGAGACGGTCACCTCAGCCCGGTCAAATTTGCCTGTTTTCGTATCCATTGACTGCACTGAATTTTTTTCTATGTTATCTGTGCTTTTTTTCTACAGCTAAAAAAGGAACACAAAGAAAAAAAACTCATAAAAAGACTTGAAAAAATACGACACAAAAAACTATTCTGTCTCGCACTACACATTGTATACAGAACAACCACACATACTCCTTCAACACACACACACTCACAAACACACACACACACACGCACTGCAGACGTACACTGCAATTTCTTTGCTCACGGCTCCTCTTGAGATAAGACTAATAAGATTTAGGAAAATAATTATTTAACTGATGAACAGAGTTGGAAAACAAAACACTGCATGGCAGGCTTTATTGCTTAGACACATACATACACACACACACACACACACACACACACACACACACACACACACACACACACACACACACACACACACACACACACACACTTCCTGGAATTATATGTTCTGCTACCAGATCTTTTTTCACAGTAGGAATTTAGCAACTGTTGTTTAGTAGAAGAGTATCTTAGCTCTCGGCTGGAGGTAACAAACGACTTCAATCGTTTGAAGTGAGAAATCAGCTTGTTCTCAGTTCCAACAATCACCCACATATCCCTTGCTACAGTTTGTGCCTCTCATTTAATCAGCGATTTTACTTCAGAAACTCTGGTTTAAGTGTTGGTTGCAATGAAGAGTGTAAACCAAATGTTTCAAAAATCTACAGCAGGTCTTTAAGCAAAACAGGTCAATAATCCTCACCAACCTCTCTGTCCTTCATCTATGTACAGTGAATTAGAATGTATTTGCCCAAACAAAAATAATTACTAGAATTATTACATGTGGCTCCTGGTTAATAAAGATTTTCAATTATTGAAAAAGCTGACTGGGTTGTTGGTTTGAGACATATGGTCCGGTTACACCATCAATTATGTTGATAAAATTGTGCACAAAATCCAACTCAATGAACAAAATCATGACAGTTAAATATTTAAACATCACCTACTGGTTCTTCAGAGCTAAATGCATTTATTTGATCTATGACCTGAACTCAATCAGTAATGCTTAAATCTCTGATGGAAAAAAACTGAAAATGAGAGGCAACAACTTTGAGGAGCTCACATCCACAACGCCTGCTTCCTTTGCTTAATGGTTGCAGAAAAATAAACTCGCCTTGCAATCTGGGCATTACTGATACCGCCAACATCAACACCAACACTGACGCTGCTGCTCCATCCACCCACCACCAACATCATGCCCTGTAGCGCATGCAAACATCCTCGCTGCTGCCGACTGCTGCAGCTGGGTGAGGGTGCAGGGATCCTGAAGCTGGCGGGGGGTTTCACATCCCAGCGTGCCCAGTCAGTGTGCCAGTTGGCCTTGCCCGACTTCATTAGGTGAAGCAGTGAAAACACTCCCCTTAGAGGGTTTATGGTGCAGCTTTGAACAATCGATACCAAAAACCTCCAGCGTGGAACTGCCCTTTAGCCACGGGCAGAGTCTCCCTGCTCAGGAGAGATCAGCGGGAGACCGCCTCCATATGAGGCCTCTGTGTCCAGCGGCAGCTTTCTCTACTAACTCTCTGTTTCTGCTAAATACAGCGCAAAGCAACCCACTAGGAGATGAATCCAGTGTTTCAATTTTTATTTCATTTCTTTGTTCTGTTACAAAAGCTATATCGATGGTTGTTTTCTTCAGCTTGGATGATGCAAAGTCATGCCAATATGTTGAGACATGCAATGGGATGTAGAAAGAGCCCTCCAATACAGGACGTACAATCAGAGGGATGGGGATCGTAGCACTTTTGTGGGGCTTTTGATGGCATGAATGTGTATATGTGTGTATGTGTGTGTCCCAATTAGGCATACTGTGAGGGGAGCAGGGATTCAGCAGAGGGGTTGATAACAGATTTTTAACTGCTGAACATGTGTGGGAGAAATGTTGCTTGATATTTTCGCTGTTTGTAAATGCTTTTAAACTAAGCAATGGCTGACAATTTGTTAATTAGGTTTTGTTCAGACCCTTCATTCGTTCATTAATTCATCCATTCATTTATTCATAAGATTCATTCATAGTCAGAGAGATGTAAGCTTGCACTTCATTTAACAACGCTCTCAAATGAAACTCCTCTCCATCAGAATAGTTTAAATTACACTTGTGACTTGTGATGCGTTTCTCAGAATAAAATCAATAATACACATTTTTCATAAAAGATATCAAAACCATTTCATACTTATGCTATTTGCTGAGCTGCTAAAACCACAAGAGAATATACTTTATAAGGAACTGAGGGGATTAGTCAGTGTCATATTGACCTAAAACTCAAATTAAATAACGATTCAAATGTACCTGCTTCTTTAAAAAGAAAACAATTAATAAACAACAAAAGCATTTGCTTCAAGTACACACAGTACAGTGATATATTTATTTTAGGGATAACACATTGAACAAGTTTGCCCCAAACTAAATATATTGTTCATATAAAGAATATATATACCATTTCAGAGCGTACATTAAAATTGTAGCACTGGCCAGCAACTAAAATGTCCTTCTCCCCTTTAATTAAAATGTTTTGACATCTAACAGATCTCAAAGTCAGTTCGGATACAATTTCCCATATTGTTTTCTTTGTGTAGAAGCAGGTTCTTGTCACAGTGTTGCTCTGGGTCTCTCAGGGTCCTCCAGGCAAACTAGCAGCCATCCCACAGCTCTGATTAGCATTAGCACTCCAGGGTCTGCCGCTCTGGTTGCAATTCAGCTAATGAGATAGCTCTGGGTCACAGGGAAACTGAGTGGTCCGGAGAAAAATAACAACAGGGACTTTGAGCCAGACCAATTCCAGCGCTCCTTACCCAGTGGACACATTTGATGTGGAATAAACAAAAGATCCCGTTAGTATCGAGAAATTACAGGTGAAATTTGTTGAAGGGGCTAAACTGTGTTACAAAAAAACAATTAAATCAGCCCCTTCATTTGATCTCATGGATTATAGATCAAATAAATGACAATTTATCTGCAAAGGCCCTAAGGATATTGTATCCACTCTGTCACAAACCCCTCCTCCTTCACAGTTAAAGTGCCATTCATCTTCTCCTCCATCTTCACCCCATCTCCTCCTCTCTGTCCACAGCAGTTGTCCATGCACTATCAGCTGCAGGATTGCTGAATGCACACTTTACACACATTTTGCCCAAAGATTTGCATATTTGCAAGTTAACTGCTGTGAATGTAGTAGACGTAGAGGAAATAGCCGAGAGGCAGAGAAGCAGAAAAGTAGTGTAGAAAAGAAGGTGGAGGAGAGGGATTGTTTTTCTAACATGATGGTCCCATTAAATCTTAATTACCAGTACGCTCGAAGTCTTCATGCTTCATAACATTCTCAGTCTCTTATCTACTGTCAGCTGTTCACAAATGTAAAATAATGTTCTCATGGTCTTATAGGCAGGAGTGCGGAAGCTTCAGTTTAAGTTAGCTTGTTAGCACACTGCAAATAGTAAAGTCATTAAAAAGACACAGGAGGGCTGGAGTCTTGGGAAATGTTAAACTGTTGAGTACATAAGCCGATGTTACATCAACAATGTAGACCATTTCCATACATCCAATGGTTACATGGTTGAAGTGTAAACCAAGAGGTACAGTAGAGTTCTTCTGAAGCTGTTTTCACACTGACAGGGAAGTCCAAATTTGAGAATGGTTTGCCTAAAACTATGAAGGTTTTTTAAATTCTTGCTAAATCTGCACCCTAACCAATAGTGTGAAAACAGCCTTTTGATGTCCTCTTTGACCAGTCAGTTGTTGTGTGACATAGTCCTTTAGAGGAATCAGGCTTCAGTTTCCACAGTTTTCTACCATATCACTCTAGAAAAGGATTGTCACTTCTGGCAGCTTTTGTAAATAGCGTGAGATCTTACACACAGACCGCTCTGTGTGAAACTATGTGGCAACGGCGCCGTCTCAGACACTTCAGCGTTTCTATAGATCTGCTTTAGTTCACAGGAACATTGCACTACATCTTCATACTTAGCTATCGCACTCTCCATGTGCACGCACTGCTAGCTTAGTCTGTTGGAGCACTCTGTCAAATATCCACTTAACATTTGTTACACGTCCAGGATGCACCTTACAACCAAGAACCAATTTATGACAGGTCCACTCCTCCATAGATCAGAGTGACATATTGACTTAAACCTCCACTGAAAAGCCTTTTTCATCACCGTACCTCTGGAGAAGTTTGTTGTACGTTACAAACAGTCATGCTGGGACTTGGTTGAACTTTCTTGGTATCTGGGACATCCCGGAGTGACTCTGTTCGTCTGTAACTTCTGTGTTTGTCTATGCTTAATGTGTCAGTATATAAGAGATTCACACATCTTTACCCCTTCCCTTTGTCTGTATATTTCACCTCATCCATACCAAACCCTGTCCACCATAACCACAAGCAGTCAGAGCCCTGTGTGGCCGAACACACTCAAAGTCTTCAGATATCCAGCTGTTCGGGAAGTTCTCAAGAGCAGCTTGGGAGCTTTAAGCAGTTCTTTGGTGAGACTGCTAAAACTTCTCCACATTCCCAACTACATGTCCAGTCGATAGGTACAGTTTAGGTTTGGTCGACCGATCCTTGTAGGGGCTTTTCCATCTGTCAGATTCATTTATCTGTTAGATCTTAAAGGTGGGGTAGGTAAGTTTGAGAAACCGGCTCGAGAGACACTTTTTGTTATATTCCATGGAATGCTCTTAACATCCCGATAGCAATGAATATCTTAAGTGCTTTGACAAAAAATCCATAAAAAAATGTCATCTGTGGAAGCCGTAGTACTGTAAAAAGCACGACCAATCATTTTAGCCGGCCCGGCTAAAATAACTGGATGGCCTACCTGCCTGTCAGCCTTCCATCTGTGCACAAACTTATCTCGTGCCCTCATTGGTCATGTGCGCGTTCGTGTGTGTTGGAGGAGGGGCTCTGTAAGGAAGTGGCAGATTTGTTCCGGCTGTGTATTTTCAAATTCTAGCGCACTCGAGCTGGTTTCTCCAAAATTACCTACCCCACCTTTAATGCCCGATTCATTCTTTTAGGGTACTTATAGCTCGAGAACTACTTTCTGTTGTACTACCAGTTGTTTGACCCCTCTAAGTCTGTGCAAAAGGATTGGTATCAAAAAAAATTGTTGAAGTAATCGACTGTCCACAGGATTCTTCGGTGTCGAACTACATTTCCTGGATTGTTTTCCAATATTGGTCTTATATTCACAATTTTGCCCATTGTTTCTGTCAGTTATGACAACATGTTGCTGCTCACCAGCTGCTTTTCAGAGATCTAGGATACTAAACTTGAGGTTTTAGAAATGTGCATGAGGATCTTGCTTGCCCAAGTGGATATTGTAGTGAAACTATATTAAATACAATCTCCAACATCTCTGCAATGCTTCTAGTGAGTAACATATAATTTAAAACAATACAATTTATTAAATTAAGACGCACACTCAAATGCGTGTGCTAATGGTATACAAATATTTTCCTGAGACACAGAATGATTTTGGTGCCAATTATTTTGCCACACATTGGGGGAAAAGTGACCAATCCAGACTTGTAATTTAGTGAAAGCTGTGTTTTATCACCTTCATATCACCACAGTGAACTCAAACCATATCTGTAAGAGGATCACAACTATATATTTCCTGGGATGAGTCGACATGTAGAGGAAAGAGAAGACAGCAGGTGTGTTTCACCATCACAACATCCCGTCCGGGGGCTCTGCTACTCCGATAGCTTTCATATCAACCTTTGATCCATAAACCTTCACTCCACACCGCCTTCCTCTCCTCTGTTACCGTCACCTCTGTTGACATTTTTTTATTTTTTATATTGAGTTCTCTTGTTTTATTTACAATTTTTTGCTGTACAAAGTGTTTAAAATATTATTTGTATTATATGATGTTAGTATGGTAATGTTCTTTATTAAGGAAGAAGAAAATTTATTTTTGTTACTGGTCTGTTTCATAATTCTTTTCTAAATTGGTATTGTAAGATATCTATGCAAGAACTGTTAAGTGGAGCATTTTTATTTAAGAATGTAATATGTGTAATAAATGGTAGAATCTGGACGTGGCTCTCTTGTGGTTTTTTGGGCGACAATTGTCTTTATTGTACAGACAGAATTGAAACGGGAATACAGAAGGGATGACATGCTGCAAAGTGTCCTGGGCCAGATTTAAACCATGGACCTCCACTTAGGGACCAAGCCCCTGCACATGGGTCGTCAACTCTACCATTCGCTTTATACAGCGGCCTTTGTGTTTTGTTTTAGAGGTGAGTATGAAATCTCCTCTGTGTGTTTCCTCTTGATTCTATGTGGACGTATTGCTGGTATGAAACAGCAGTAATACATCTACACCAGACTGTTTAAGATACTTCTTAATTTGCTTCATATGAGCTTCAACTTAACTTTAAAGGTGGGGTAGGTAAGTTTGAGAAACCGGCTCGAGATACACTTTTTGTTATATTCCATGGAATGCTCTTAACATCCCGATAGCAATGAATATCTTAAGTGCTTTGACAAAAAATCCATAAAAAAATGTCATCTGTGGAAGCCGTAGTACTGTAAAAAGCACGACCAATCATTTTAGCCGGCCCGGCTAAAATAACTGGATGGCCTACCTGCCTGTCAGCCTTCCATCTGTGCACAAACTTATCTCGTGCCCTCATTGGTCATGTGCGCGTTCGTGTGTGTTGGAGGAGGGGCTCTGTAAGGAAGTGGCAGATTTGTTCCGGCTGTGTATTTTCAAATCCTAGCGCACTCGAGCTGGTTTCTCCAAAATTACCTACCCCACCTTTAAGTTAAATTACTTCTTCTATCAATTGACTAATCATTTCAACTCTGGAAAAAATGCACGGAAACCAATCCATTTGGCTCAACAGGAGTGGACCGGATGAAAGGGATCCACAGCATTGACTTAATTGTCCCTTTATGTGATTTCACTATTAATTATAAATGTGTAAACATTTCCTTCTGGAATGTGGTGCATCTGGACACCTAAATATAAACTTCGATAAACTATCAACAATTAAATCCTTTTTGTTATCCAAGTACACCTGAGTTATGAACAACTACTCAAAGAAAAATTCATCTTCTCTTTACAACTTGGTTCTATTCCTTCAATTCCATCTCAAGCTCACCAAGGCATGCCGAGTTCTTCTAATATAACCTTCTAGAAAACGACTGAAATTGCCCCTGCATGGTCACCCAGATGACTTTAATTATAGTACCGTTGAAGCACATTATTCCTTCGTAATGGCCATTTAAGGCAGATGGACACATTCTGTCCAGCCGCTGGCAAGAGCGCAGACGTACGGAGAACCAGCGCCGCATTGCTACAACAAAAAGGGCCATATTCTCAACACTGTGGGTAATTTAGGTCTTTATTACAAATTAAAACAATCTCATGAATATCTATAGCTCTCCCCTGCCTGTAAATGGCTTCTTCTAGGCTGCTTATAGTGTCCTGGTCTTTAATTAGAGCTAACTTGTCACTGACTGAGCTGACACATGAACCAATGACACGCACACTAAATGAGGTGATCAAATAATTAATGGCTAATTGGGGATCAATTAAGCAGAAGCAAGGGAGCTCATGTGCAGCATATCTGCTCTCTGGGTTTGTCCTCCTACATATAAATTGCTCATTAACTAATTAAAAGGGTCGAAATTGTGATTGTATTTCTCTGGAAGGACAGGCTTCATTTTCATTCCCCTGATTTAAATCATCTTAACTGGTTTCTTGGCTTTAAATATAGGCTTTGCATTTCCACACATGTTAATTTTCTTTGCTTGCAGAGTGCTTAAGAGACTGGATGGAGACATTTCAGTTAAGCCAACGCAGAGCATTATTATCATTTCGTAGCAGTTGGCTGTGTTGGCTAGAAAATAGGAATTCACAATGGCGATTAGTGTGGGCATTTTGAAGTTCTGCAAGCTTATTCACTTCTTGTCAGAGGTAAAGAAGGGAGGCGAGTGAGCTGTTTATAATCTTATTCAGCAGCATTAGTCTGTGTATCTTGCTAAGTGTTTACAGAAACAGCAACCGTCAGCTCTCTTTAACGCAGAAATAAACAGAAATGTGGTGAGTTGCCCCGTGGCATATTCTATACTTATCTCAGTAAGACCATGTCAGCTCTTTGTAGTGACTCTTAGACCGCACTGTCCAGCAACACCATATAATGCTGCTTTGTACTTAAAAAGCAAATGTATCACGGCAGCTGTGCACAGAACAAAAGCAGCTCTGAATTTATCCATGATTACTATCTGTCTCTTTAGCGGCTAAATGTTCCACAGTGCTCACCAGATAGCCGCTACCTGTGTCTGTCTGCTGTTTGGTGCTCAGCAGGTAGTGTACGTTGGGTCTTTAGAGCTTTTTTGTTGCAAAAAGCTGCCTGCTGTGGCCAAAAACAACCCAATGAAAGTGGTGAGATTAAAGCAAATGGTGATGTTGCAGGCCAGACAGCTAAACGATGAGATGAAATGAGCTAAAAAGCTCCATAAGGCTGGCCGCTGTTTTCACATCATCATTTCATACACTGGCATTATAACAAATATCAATTAGAGTTATCTGCTTTATGCTTCAGGAAAGAGTGCGCTATTGGAAAATGTGTTGGGCAACTAATTTGATTCAGGTTAAAGAAAGTTCATTCATTGTTTAAACACAAATGCTAATTGTAGCTCCTGATCTAGAAGT